CCGCTCCCGGCCCGGCCCGGCCCCTCTGCCCTCCGGACCCCGCCCCCGGCCCGGCCCGCTCCGAGCCCCCGGCCGGGCCCCGCTCCGGCGCACTCACGCGTTCCCCACGTGGATGCGCGGCACCACCTCGTTGCTGTGCGCGCTGGGCAGGCTGTAGCAGCCGCTCTCATTAGACAGGAGATCGTTCAGCTCCTCCACCGAGATCTGATAGTCGGCCATGGCCGGGCCTCCGCCGCCAGCCGGGAGCCCCTCGGCGCTGCGGCTCCAGCCCGGGCCGCTCCCGCCCCGCCCGGCCCCGGGGCCGCCTCAGAGGCGGGGCCGCGTCAGCTGCCGGGGCCGGAGCGCCGAGAGGAGCGGGCGCTGCTCCGGGAGCGCGGCCCCGGCGGGGCGGGATGGAGCCCGCGGGCCTCACGCTGAAGCTGCTGCTGGTCGGAGACAGCGCCGTGGGGAAGTCCAGGTGCTGGCCGGGCCGGGCCGGGCCGGGCCGGGCGGGGCTGGGGGCCGCAGCCCCGGGCTGAGCCCGCCTTCTCTCCCCACAGCCTCCTGCGGCGCTTCACGGACGGCGTGTTTGAGCCGCGCCTGATACCCACCGTCGGTGAGCCCGGCCTCGCTGGGCCCGGCCTCGCTGGGCCCCGGAGCCGTGCGGGGAAGCGGGAGGCGGCCGCCAGGGCAGGCGTTCGTCAGTTCCTTCTGACGATCCTCCCCTTCTTCCGTCTTAGGTATTGATTTTAAGGTGAAGAAAATGGTGGTGAAGGGCCGTGCAGTACAGCTGGCCATATGGGTAGGTCTTGTTGCAGACAGATGGGGTTATGTTGGGTTTTGAGAGATGTGCAAGCTTCAAGAGCTCCTTGTTGTTTCTTCCCTCTCTTTTCCTGCTCCTCCTCTCTCTTTGTAAAGTCTGCCGCATGTTTTGATTGTATACTTCGGCTGCAAAGCTGGTACAGCAGTAGTTGTAGGCAAACAAAAACACTTCTAAAAGCTCCTTCTGTCCAGGTTTGGGACTTCCTTTAATTCCAGGAGAGGCTTTGAGTGACCTTTGCTGCGCTTTCTCAGGCTCTGGGAAATGTTGAGCTTTGGAGATGTCAGCATGCGGGAGAGGCGAGCATGCCCTGCCTGTGTGAGCCAGGAGCACAGAAATGGATAAAAGCAGAGAAAGGCGATGCTCTGGGTAATGAGCTGGGTGATTGCCCATAGGGGATGTATAGGAGCTCTGGGTGATGCTTTATTTTGGTTAAAATCATGCCCAAAAATCCCACAAACCTGTTCTTGAACTATTTAAAGGTTGATTTAGACTTATTGGGAAACTCAAGTATTTGTCCTGAACTTCCTGATGCTGTATTTTCAGCCTCTGCAGACTGAAATCAGATTGCAGCTGTGTGATCAGGATTATTTTTAATATAAAACATTTAATTCTTCTAAGTAGAATGAAAGAGCCTTAGTAAGGAGGGATTTTATATGTATGGTCATAGGTATTTGAGAAAGAAAATGCCCTTCCTAATTAAGTAATTGGGACTAAAATACAATCCCTAGTAACAATGAACTGAATTAGGTAAGTATATTCCCAGTTCTAGTTTCTTTTTTTTAAACAAAGAATAAATAAATTACAATATAACTGTTAGTCTGTCAACTGTGAGCTGTACGAAAAAGGAAATAAATTTTTTTCCAAAAAAAATAATTGTGTGATTTGTTGCCTCCTTACAGTTTGTTTTGAGGGTCTTTTTGAATTTCATATTGTACTTAGTACCTTGCTTATTCTTACTTATTCATGAGTTTAAGAGAGACATACTGCAGTAATAATTGAATAAAACTACTGATCTTAAATTTCTTACCTACTTAGGTTTGTAGTCTTGAAGTAGTTCTTTCTAACTAGATTTGTCTTGTGGTAAAGGAGCAGAGGGAGATGTTTGGAACCTCTGTCTCCCTTCCTGCAGAGTCTGTCACTGGACAATCAGTTATTCCCCATCTCATTCAGTTCAGCTGGTTTTAAACCCATCTGTGTGGCTGCTTGCCTTTGATGTATTTCTGTAAAGTCCTTTTTATTTTCTGTTACAGGTGTCTGTTTATCCTTTTTACTTTGACTCAGGTCCTCTCCATGCTTAACCATTTTCTGCTGCTGTTTTCTGACTGCTTTCCTCATTCTTGCATCTTAATGTTTCATGTAGCCTTACTGCTCAGAAAATTTTTAAATTTGCTCATCTTGTTTAGTTTAAAATACCTTTTATTTTTTTGTTGTTTTAAATGTATTTGATGTTGTGTGTTTGGGGTTTTTCCCCCTCCCTCTGTAGGATACAGCAGGACAGGAGCGTTTCAGAACACTGACTCCCAGTTTCTACCGAGGAGCTCAAGGAGTAGTTTTAGGTATGAAATAAAAGGAAGAAAAACATGATTACAGAAATTCTGGTCTTTATTCCTCCTAAATGTGCATGCCATTGCAAAAGGAGGTTATTGAAAATAATCAGAGGAATAAATATGGTTTTTATAACATTACTGCTTATTAGCTCAAACACTGAGTGTACAAAACCACTGGCAGGAAATATACTGCTTCAAAATATTTTAAATTAAAAAGAGATGTCATGTTGCAAGCTGTTGAGTGGATGAATTATTAGCTTTGTAGTTATTACTTGGGTGGTTTTCTGGTAATAAGGCTAATCAGGGGTTGTGTTGTGTTCTTTACCTCGTGATGTTTTTACTTCTTTTGTTCCCAGAAACTATTGATGTGATTATTGTGATTATAGTAAGACTGAGGTTTGTACACAGAGCCTGGCTAGGCCTTTTCTGTGTGACAACAGCAATTGGAAAACAAAGGGATTCTTCTTTTCAGGGTTTGAGAAGGCTAACCTTAACTTTGCTGTACAAAATATTCTTTCTATGATTTTTAAACCTTAGTGATTCATATAAATGCAGTTATTAAGTTACCAGTGCCCAAAAGTAGCTTTTAACTCAGTCCATGCTTTTAGCAGCAATGTGTGTGTGTACTTATACAGAAAATTAGGTGACAAAATACATTTTAAAACACTTTAAAAATATTCTGTGTGGCCCAACTCAGCACTACCAATAGGTAGAATAAATTGGTAAATCTGATTTTAACTCGCAGAGGTTCTTGTGTTCTGTAATCCTGGAGTGATTTGGGTGAGCACAGCCCAGTGTGTTCCAGCTCTGGGAGCAGTGTATGGTTGGTGCCTGTTTCTGTAGCTCCCTAGTACCTTTTATTTTTTCCAGGCAGTAGTTAGGAAGTGTGGACTAAGTTCTGCCACAATGAAGGAAACACTGTCCAAGACTCTACAGCTGTTAAGCTCCTTTTCCTCTGTTCTCAGTGTATGATGTTACAAGAAAAGACACTTTCACAGGACTAGGAAGCTGGCTGAGTGAGCTGGAAGTGTACACCACCAACAGCAGCACTGTGAAAATGTTGGTTGGCAATAAAATCGATAAGGTCAGTTTGGGAATGCATCCTTTTGCATTCTTCCCCGAATTATTTATTCATCCCAGTGTGTAAATGTGAGGTAAGTGCTGTAACACAGCTCTTGTGCCAGGAGGTAATTTACTCAGCAGCTGAGTTGGGAAGGCTCCACTTCTATCAGTTTAGAAGCAGATATTGTTAAAGATTTTAATAGAAGCTTTCCTAGAGAGATGCAATTGATGATATTCCTTTAAGATGGTGCAAGGCTCTGCCCAAAACCTGTCTGACACTGAACCTAACTGCAGCACAGCTGCTGCTTGCTTTCTGAGCAGACTGACAGTGGTGGGGAAGGGGAGCTCAGCTCTGGGTGGATGTAGAGTGTGCATCCCTGTGGCTGTGAGGTGCTGCTGGTTGTTTCTGGGCTGTTCTGGCACATTTAGATGCCTATTCCATAGTGAGGTGCTTTGCTCTTGCTTTCAGTGTGGCTCTCCTGAGCTGGGCTCTGCTCTGTCCCTTCCCAGTGTGCCCAGTTTCAGAAACTTTCATGGGCCTTTCTGGTGTGGATCTTGCTTCTGGTTGATTGAGAGCACAGCAACACAATAATTTCCTGCTGATTTGGCACAGGCTGTGGTTCTTGGGGTTGTGTTGGACTTTGCTGATCCTGGTGGGTCCCTTCCAGCTCAGGACATTCTGTGATTCTGTGCTTTGATGTTGCTGCTGTTCAGTTTGACCCCCTGCCAGCCAGCCTGGCAGTGAGCTATAGAGTGGGAAAATCCGGTTGATGACACATTTCTTACATTTTTACACATTTTTTCCTTTCAGCAAAACCTCATTTCTGCACTGCTGCTTTTCTGGGTACTTTTTTAAAGTGGCAGGTGTAGCTTATCCTTCATTTGTCTCTGCAGCCTGACCGTGAAGTAGAGAGAAAAGAAGGGCTCCAGCTTGCTAGGAAACACTCACTGCTTTTTATAGGTATGCACCTCTGGGGCAAAAACTTCTATATTCAAATCTTTATTTTGGTATTGCCAAGCATGAATGTACAATTGTATTTCAGGTTGATGGGTTGCTACCTTTTTTTTTTAATACCTAATTAATATGGGTTCCTTTTGCTGTAATTCATATTCAGGATGTAGGTTTCAGCTTCTGCACTGACTACAACTGGAAGCACTTTTCTCTGAAACAGATTTACTGTGTATACTTTACAGGCATGAATTTTATATTCTCTTGAAACTAGCAGGATTTTTTAATTTAGAGCCCTGAAGACTGAATTCCTTACTGGAATTCCAGGGTCTGCAAGAACCCTGGCTGATCTTTCATTTCCAAGTTTCTGTTGCAGCTACATAAAAGACAATGTTCTTAGAGCAACAATAAAATGTACAATGTGAAGATACAAAGGTGGGGAACACACTGAGTTTCTAAAGAGAAAGTTTCTTGAAAAGATTTCTAGGAGAAACCGAAACACATAAAGGACAACATGCAATTCCCTCTGTATTCTTTATTTCTCAGCTTTGTTATGGAATAATTATCTTCTAGATTTACTGTCAAAACCTGAGAACAATTTCTTTTTCTCCATTATGGAGATTTCTTTCTAAGTGGAAAAATGTGATTCTTCAGACTGGGATGTATTTCTGTTTATCCTTCAACTTAAGCGTACCTTTAAGAGAATGGAGAGGAGGTTCACTCATTTAAAAACTCCCATCTTCTCCCTGCTCCCAAAATAAATTCTTACTCAGTGGAATATACTCCCTGCAAGTAAGAGAAAATAATTTTTTCCCCCTTCCTCCAGAGACCAGTGCCAAGACACAGGATGGAGTGCAACATGCCTTTGAGGAACTGGTCATAAAGATCCTGCAGACTCCAGATCTTTGCGATAAGAACACAGTGAAGAAGGGAGTCCAGCTCATGGAATCTTCAGCACAGAAGGATAAAGGCTTGTGTGCTGCCCACTGTCCACTTACTTAAATGTACAGGTGGCTGCTCTGCCTGACTGGAGAGAACATGGAAAAAAAACAACGGGTGGGGATGGGATTCCCAGCACCAATCTGTGCCATGTTTGATGTGCCATCAGTTGTGCAGATCCAAAACACAAACTCATTAGCAAAATACATTTTTATTTGTTAACAAAATACAGTTTCTCCTTCCCTTTTGCACAACTGCTGTTTGCAGGTATTTTTCTGGTAGCTCAGATTTTTTACTATTAAGCCATAGTGCTGCTTAGAGTATTGTGCTCTTGCTGTGTGACATTCAACATGGACTTTTGCTGGAATTCCTGCCTTAGCATAAATAAGGTGGTATTCTGGATCATTACTGAGAACCTTCTCTTCCCTTCTGGCATGGGAGGCTTTTAGTTGCCTTCATGTAGTTACTCATCAGGAGTTACCCTGAGCAGTGGACATAGCTTCCTGGTTTTGGATGGTTTTAAAAAGTCAAAATTGCTCCATGTCCCCAGACAATAATGTGTTACTAGTTAATTTTAGGCTTGCCATGAAGAGGATGTGTCTTTTAACACTTGTCAGGAAACCCCCCTGCTTCCTGTGCAGACACTGTAGGTGACCCTGTGCTGTTTGCACCGAGGATCAAGGATGAAATCCCCTCCTCACCCCGTGGCTGTGGCCTGGCAGTCACTGTGGTTCTCTGCAAACCACACCCTCATCCTCTTCCAGCAACCACAGTGATTAAACTTTCATAGAAAATGTGCTGCCTATGGGAGACATTCCATTAGAGTGACTCTGTCCTCCACCAGTCCCACTATGAAGTTACCTTTTTGTCTTTTACACTTCTAAAATGGCAATATTGTATTTTGCTAACTTACATTAAAATAACTAAAAATTTAAAGGGTATGTAACTTGTACCTTGCTTGTTAATGCATGTTTCTACTGTTAGACTATGTTAGATCATGAAGCAAACACACAGCTTTATTTACTGCTAGTCATGCAAAATATTTTAAGATGTTATGATAGCAACCTTGCTTTAAATAAATTCTGACCCTTACCTTTTTAACTTAAATCTGAATCTTGTAAATATGTTTGTCTTGCAGACTATAAAAATCTGTTTGTAACCTGAAATACAGACCGAGGCTGAGATCAATCTGGCCATTTATTACTTTCATAAAATGGTTTAGTTTGAAATGCTGTTTCTGAAATAGTTTTTTTAATATTTCACTCAGCTTTTCATAAGATCAAGGTACATCTGTCACAAATTGTCTCTCTAAGAAGCCAAATCCCTTTTTGGGGGGGTGTGCTGGCACATGGTTGCAGTGCTGACAGCCCACTGCAGGTGGAGGAGTCCTTGTGCCACCAGGCTGCAGCACTGACAAGTGCAGGGACCTGACTGGGAACAGTTCTTGTTTTTGTAGCACTGGGAGCAGAACCTCAATTCCCCTGGGCAGGACCATACATGAAATTTGCCATTTGGAGAGGATGGATGGGGGTGGAGAAGATGGATGGGGGTGACTCTTCTACACAGCGTTTTAGGCTTGACATAATGTAGATTCAGTGACACTGGTATGTAAGAAATGTGCTTTTAATATGCAACTTTTAGTTCTGCTAAATGTAGTGGAACAGGAATAACATTATACTGTTAGATATGAGGAACAAGACTGGTACAGCAAAGGTCTTGTTTAAAGGGCACAATACACAGGAAACATCAGACCTCAGCAGGCAAGTGAAAACAGGAACTCTAGTTACAGCTAACATGCACCTGTACAATGCTCTCCCCTTAAATCCCCCAAGTATAAAGCACAGCTACTTCCAGAATCAGCTCTGCATCTTCCTAAGACCCACTCAAAAATTGTATATTCAAGTCTCCTCAAATATATACAAGGTCCTCTAACAGTTTTCTTCTTCAGGCCAATTAGATGCTCTGCAAATCTTTACCAGATTTGGAACAGAAGCCATAAATGCTGGAAGGATGATGATTTTGAGCTGCAGCTCCTCCTTTTAGTGCCCTTTTTGGAGCTGTTCCATTGGTGTCAAGGCTGTGTCCCCACCAGCTAGCACAGGCAAAGATGTTTGCAGAAACAAAGCTTCTAAACTGTCCTATTTTAGAACCATATGCAGTTGTTTTCACATACACTATAAAAATCTCTGTTTTATGAGCTGGCCAGTCATACAGGTACACTCACAGGTTGTTTTTGTGACTGGGAAAGTGGGCATAAGCTGTGGATGAGCAGACTCACACCTGTGACCTGTGCAAGACAACTTGGAGTACTGGGAAAGGTGATGGACATTAAAAAAACCCTTCAACAGCTGACCTAGTTCTTAGTGCCGAACTGGGAAGGATTTGCAATTAATGGTTCTGTGTGAAGGGCAGCATGTTTTGCTGGCCAGCCAGCCCGCTGAACTTCTGAGTAGCTGGCATGGTGTTACCACTCTCCAAAGAACACTTCCCACCCAGCTGAAGGAACTTGTTCCCAACAGGTACTCTGAGGTTTTAACTCCAGTCACAAAATTTGTGGCTAGAATTGTGGCCAAAGGTCAAACCTTCCATCTTGTCAGTGTCCCAGCACAAAATGCTTTGGGTGTGTGGGAGCCTCTGTGAAACATCACTCTAACAAAATGCACTATTTCCAGTCTAAAGATCAGTAGAAGACTGGACTGGCTTATTGAGCCTGAGTATTGACTTCTAAATGACAGCTGCTATTCAAAATTCTGACTCAGAAAGGCAGTGTCAGCTTGTGACTTTGTTTAGTCTTTCCTCATACAGTCTTTATTTATTGCCTTCTAGGTAACACCAGCAGTTCTGAAGCAAATTCAATGTACTTCCCTTTTCTAATTCATGTATTTACAAAGCATTTTTATACAGTCTTTCCCTTAAACATGGTAACAAGCTATGACCTAACCCAGCTGACTGGCACCCAAAATGAATCCTTGTTTAGTTTATCTAAAACAGTTTTCAGCTCGTTACAAGCACTCTGGAGATCTTCTTTCACCAGTACAGTGTCAATTAAATGGCCATAGTGCTCTTCAATGAATGCTGCTGAATTAATAATTTCTTGCTGTTCTTCATCCTGCTGATCAACACAACATGTTGGTGTGAAATTTACAGCATGTCCTTCTGGTTACTAGCATTTTAAAGTATCTTAGCACAATGAGTCATCACTCTGAGAACATGTAACAAAAGCTGCTACCATTAGGAAAAGGTATTGAAGATATTAAAACTGAGATCACAGAGCATTATGCTACTGGCAGCTGTTCCAAAAAATGCAAGAGGCCTCAGGGAAGGGGGGAAAATATGTTACAGAAGGGACATAAAATGGTTATAGTTCATTTTATGTAGTTAAAGTTGCTGCCTAACCCAAGATATGGGAAGCACACTCCTCAAAAGCTGAAAAGGAATGTTGCATACACTGTCCCGAGTTCAGTATTTTTGAGGGCTTACACAAAAACTTACCAAGTGACCTAAGTTCTGTAACATACATTTAGAGTTCAGGTTACCCAAAGCAATGACATTTATGTACTCAGTTCAGATTTACACATCAGCAGTCTGCAGCTGATCCAGGTTTGATCCTCATCAGACATCCACACACTGGGTTTTGTGTGCACACCACTGAAATGCTGGCTGACACTGGTGTGGGTGTCACTTCGGGGATATAAGAAATAGCTGCCATCACCATCTGATGGGGCTGCTCATCAGAAATGTAAAATGATTGCTGGTTTATCTGAGCTCAGCAGCAGCTGCTTCTCCTGGCTGCAGCCTTGATGAGGTACCCAGATCCATATGGAAGACTGGCACTTGGCTTCATGTGACTTTCAGACTTGAGTATACAAGGAATAAAAAAATCCATTCTGAAGTTCCATCTGAAAGGCTACAGGACCTACTTATTGCCCCACTTTAACTCTTGCTATAAAAGAGGAGATCCTTCATTTACTAGAAATGCTAGCCCAAATACTCCTTTCATGTCTAAAAAGAAGAGATTAGAAGCTGGAATACTTACAAGGGGGGATGAGATTTCTTCTGACATGTGAGATTTTACATGTTTTTTCTTTTCTGAAATGAGAGGCTTCACAAAGATAACATAAGGCTTAAACTCAGGAGTCCTCAAATGCTTTACTGCCTGTGAACAGAAGATTTTTGTTACCAGATTTCTTTTTGCTACATGTCAATGACAGACCCAAACTGGTTTCAGTAGTTTCACTAGTACAGGCTGACACACTGTGCTGTGAAGTCCTGTGTCCTACACATGTGACCTCAGACATCTTTTGCTCTTCAAACAAAGGCTCCTGCCAGTGTCCTGGCTGGCACAGCAGAGTGCATGGAGCAAGGCCTGAAAAGCACTGATTCCAAGGGACAAAAAATACTGAGTAAAGTATAAAAAAACCTGACTTCATGGACAAGTTATGGTTTGCTTCACCTAAGCAGCCAAACACTGCAAATTTTAAACTTAGAATTCATCTGAGGTAGTACCACAAGCCTTTTCCTAGCCCAGTTACAAAATCTGGATCAAAACTTCAAATATTAACTCAAGGCATGGGGGTATGAAAAGCAGGTCTATTGGCACTGCTAACAATGCTCCTGTCCTGGGGTGATTGATGATGTTATTCTGTATCTGCACCCAAAAACTGGTACTGTATCTTTGAGATCCTACAAATGAGAGCCTTGGGTGGCTGTGGGTGTGCTATGGCCAGCATTTTTAAAATCAGAACTAGAATGAAAAAAGCAACGATTTTCCAAGTATTCTCTCTAGGACCTGAGCAGGCTGGGCCAGGCACGCACATCAGTCCTACAGCAAGGGAAAGTCCCACAGTGAGGACTCCTGAAGAGACATCCAGGCTGTCCCAGCTGGACATGTAGGAACTGTAACCACTGCACTGCTTCCCCAAGTGCCCTATTCTGCTCAGGCAGCAGTAAATCATATTTGCATTCTTTAAAATAAGCTGCAGAACTTACTTCAGGTACCACATCCACCAAACAAACCTTCTTTTTTGCCATCACAGACCGGATTGCTTCCAGACTTGTACCGTACAAGTTTTCTTTGTATTCTCCGTGTTCCACAAATCTAAAAAGTCAAAACATTTTTAAATACCAGCTACAAAAAATATGAAGAATATTTAACTTAGAACAGTTGATAGCAGTTTCATGAAGTCACAGCAGTCAAAGAGGGAGGAGAGGGGCAGAAAACCAGGGGTGTGTGGGTAGGAATTTCATTTTTTCCACGTTTTTTTTCCTTGCTTAGTAGCAATTCTTCATGTATCACTAATAGCTCATCAGCACTACTGACAAAAAGGGGAAGGAGAAAGGATATTTTTTACAGAAAATAGAACAAAGCTGGCAAGGAAATGGACTGAAATTCTCCCATCTTTTGGGAGACTAGTAAAAATCTGAACTTTGAGGAAACATGCTTGAGCTCACAGAAAGTCTGGTATAACCACAGGCTCACTCTACCACACACTTTCAAGGAGATTGGGGAATAAAACTTTTTACCCATCATATTAAACTGAGAGTTAGCAGGCCCAACTAAGTATCTATCACTTTCACCAATTTTAAGACTTATGGAGGTTTCAATTCTAACTCAGGATCCTCAAATTAATGTTATTCCTTAATTGCTTCCAGCTAAATGTTTGAGTTTGCTCCACGAGTCCAGACTCAATAAAGAGGTTTTTACTTAGAAAGCTGAATCCTCCTAATATACCTTGTCCAATTTGTCACCTGATTTTGGTATTCATGTGATGTAAAACTGAACAAGCAATATTTTTAAATAGTAAATTATACCAGTATTTTAAAATTAACTCACTTGTTTTGCTGCACATCTGTCTCAAAGGATTGCTTAGAAACAAAATTGTATTCTACTCCCTCTCTCTCATGACTTTTCCTTGACCTTGTTGTATCTAGAAGAGAAGGGAAGCAAGACATGGGAGATGTATCAGCCTTTGCAAATGTTTTCTCTACTTAGTTCCAGTCACATTGTCACAACCTCAAACAAGAAAGTTACACAGTGGCAAATTCAAATGAACAAAATATAAACACAGCATATTACAATGAGAAAAAAAAATTGAAGTCCTTCAAAATATGCATATAATCAATAGTCAGAACACAAATTATCATTAGTGCAGGTGGAATGATATTCATTAGACAACATTTATGGAATAAAGATGCAACAAACACAAGTCAGTAAATTTTACTCACGTGGAACTGCAACACCATACTCCTGGGGGTTCTCTGACACAACTTTTTGCTTCAGCTCACTTAACTTGGCCCCCAAACAACCTAATAAAATAAAACTGACTGATAGATTTCTGTGTGAAATGAAACACAGCAGAAAATAAATATAACAGTTTCACATAAATAATATGATTCAGGAGTGTGCTTGAAGAAACCTCTTCATGAGAGAACTCATGACTTGCTCTGCCATATTCTGCTTTGAAGAACATCGTCAGGAACAAATTTAATTATTTGAACAACTGCTGGACAATCGCCTGGCAGACATTGAATCAGAAAATCTGTGATCTTAGCAGTCGGTTCTAGGAGATACCTTTGAATTTTAGGGCATCCTGAGAAACTGGCTTAGCACAAGGCTGATAATTAGAATTAAAATTGCATGCAAAATCTTGTTAGATAATTCTAGCATCTGCCTCTTCATCAACAGTTCTGACAGCCTAAGTAAACACTGGAGTGAAAACCAAAGGAAAGTGAATCAGAAAAATCAGAAATAGTCCTGCATCATTATTTTTAGAAGGATTTGGTGAGTTTGATTCCTTGTTTTGTTTTTTTTCCTTTTTTGTTTTTTAATGTAATTTAAAATACAAGAGTGAGTTCTGACAAAAACCAGAAAAATATTTTTTTAAGAAAACTCTAGAACCACAAAAACCCCTGAACCAAACACCTAAAAAAAGCCTCTGGAAGTGCAGGGTAAGGGAACAGGGAGAAATGTGAAAAATTTTGAACCAACTGGGTATCTTACCAATCAAAACCACCAGCCTCTGCTGCTCACCAGGCTGCTGCTGATACTTTGTGACTTCTTCATATGTCAGGAACTCTGCTCCATCTGCCTGCTCTGCTTGCTTGCCTTCATTTGCATTGTTTTCCTTCTCTTTACGACTTAACCTGAAGCTCCTGCGTAAACCAGCTGTGCAGAAAACAGAAGATACATTGACATGTCCCCACTTATCCAGATGTTCCAGCTTGTTCAGCTACAAGTTATTGTCCTCAAATGTGAGTTATTCCCACAAATTTTGTTTATAATCAAATCAGCATGTATGTACTCAGATTATAGGAGAAACATTTGCATATGGGACAGGAAACCTAACACCCCATCTATACTAAAATCCCTCTCACACAACTTTAACTGCCAAATATTGGTTATGCCAAAGTCAGATTATGCCTCTTCAAAGAGAATCTGTTTATGATTACAGTTTATGAATGTATGGGGAATTAATTTAAATAGTCCAGCGTTAATTTTTTAATGTGGAGGTGGGTTTTTTGGGGGGGTTTATAGTGGGGTTGTTTTGTTTTCATTTTGGATCTGGGTTTTTTGTGGTGGGTGTGCTAGGGAAGAGGTGGAGTGTTTTGGTTACTCACCTATGTAGTGTCCATTGAAATATCCTTCACAGTCACAGTCCTCTGTAAATTAAAAAGCAAGGAAGTGGGGGGTAGGGCACAGGGAAAGGAGAGTGAAAGGGAGGAAGGAAATATCTTAGACAATGTGTGTGATACAAGTCTGGCTCATTGGCAAGGAAAGAAATTTTATATCCTGCATTGTTTGCACATCCGTTTTTAACATAATCATTGCTGATACCAAAAAAAATACTTCCCTTGGCTAGTGGTTTATATTTGAAAAAATCCTTGACTTTGATATTGAACTAGAGGATTTTATATCTTGGTATTTACAGTGCCCAGAGTTGATGCTTTTCAGCATTCATGACATTTGATTAGTGCTGCTGGTAAAAGTATGATACTCAGGCTTAAGTAAAAAAGAAGTCTCCACAAACAGAGAGCTCTTTTTTAAATGAAGACCTTTATAAATGAGTATGATTATGCAAGGAAGTTGCCTCTTCTGATATTTCATTATCATGTGGGCTTGAAAAAGGGGGATCAGAAATGATAAAGATGAACTCTAACCCCCTTCATTTTGACCAAGGTAAATTATCATTGCTTGTTAATTCTTTATTAAAAAAATAAAGATCTGATGCTGTACTGGTTTAGATTTGCCAATTTCATTTCTTTGGTCATATGCATGTATGTAAAATAAGATATTAAAAACCCCAACCTGTCCCTCTTCAAATTAGAACCACCCCCAAGGCCCATAAAAGTGTGCATAATAAAACCATGATACTTATCTGCAAAAAAATACACTGCAATCCTAAGACAAATACTGAGTTCTCATACTTCCTGAAAGAGGGATGCCTAGTTTGTTAACATTTAGGCACCTGTGCCCTTGCAATATTTACAGAACTCTACTCATTTTGAGGTGGTGGTGTATGGGATAAACCCAATCATAAGCAAAAATATATAGCATTTATACCTTTCACCAAAGGTGCCAGTCAAGAGAGGGCTTTGTTTTTAATGAATAGTTGCATGCAGGTGTGTAATCATGCAATGTCAATGTGTACTCCCAAAACATTCTGCCTACATTTTGAAAAAATAGAAACATCAATCCACAGCTAAGATCAGAGCTGTTCTGTTTGTTTATTTCTGCTGTTCAAGGCAGGCTCTTTCAGACTCGTGCTTTGACAGCTGGCCATGACTGCTATACTCTAATTACAGAATATGATTAGTACTTTCATCAAAGTTGATGGAATATTAATACTTGGAATATGAATATCAACAAGCAACTGTAATGTGAAAAAAAAAATAAAATCACAGCATATGGAATTCAACAGGGAATATCTGATATTTGGAAAGGCAGCTTGTACATGATATAAGCTGCATAAGCCCAAGAGAGTTGCTCATAATGAAAATAATACAGAAAACAGTCCAAATGAACAATGAAGACAAATCACTTAGGACTGACATGGGTGCCCTAAAATGTTAAACCCCAATATTTCTTATTTTTTAAACATACCAGATACAAAGACTGCATTTAACTTGCAAGTCTTTGAACCTCACTCAGAAACCTACAGAACATGTAAACACATCTCAGAAGATAAATCTTTTCTCTTGAATTGGAAGCAAATTTGGAAGTTACCATTACTTAAGTCATCAATCTGAATTATATTGATTTAAATAATAATTCACAAAGAAAAACTCCCAGGAACAATATATCTATTGTTCCCTTTGGAATCATAGCAGTATTTTAGAAAATACATTGGCTGTTCATATTCAGACAGAAAGTGAGTTAGGAGAGCACCTACCTTTGTCAGAAGACTGATCATCTATAGTTAGCATGAAAGGCAGAGTTGGGATGATATTAACAGATGGACAAATAATTGAGCAAAATTAGAGCAAATGGAAAGGAAGGTTCTTTTGATTTAATTTGCTTAACAGGCTTTTCTATCTTAAATGAAGTACTGCAATACAATACCCTCCTTATCAACTGATGAAAGAATTCTGGGCTGAAATGTAGTTATTAAAACCAGTTATCAGCTTAATTGTTTTGAAAACATCTGAGATAAAGCTTAAGCAGCACTCCTTATTACATATCTCCTAATTTGAATGTAATGGAAACTAATTTGGAAAAGCTTCATTTAAATCAGTAATGCTATTTTATTACTTGATTGAGCATCCTCCCTCCTTGTAGCTCGAGAATATCTGTATCTCATCATGCACCAAAGGCAGAAATTCACCTCTAATACTCAAAAGGGACCATTTCCATAATCCTTGTCTACATGAGGGTGGCACAATCCTGGCTGCACACAGTCACAGGCTTCCCCCCACACCAATAGTGCCTGTGCTGAAGCACCCAAGAGCAACAGAAACACATTTTGGGGTAATCACAACATCTTCAGTTTTCCAGCACTTACTAAGAATTCCCTCACAAGCAGATGTTGTGAATAATTCAGTGACAGAGACTTCAGAGCTGTAAACAACAATCACTCTCAAGTCTACTTAATACCAGCTCTCTAACATTAAGCCTGAAATACAGATTGTATTTCCAGCTCCAGTGATTTTTATTCTCCTTAAAGCTACACTTTATTTTCATGAGTTTAGAGTAGCTTCATGCACTCATATAAGAATTTTGAGAAGTATGCATTGGGTTATTTTTGCAGCTTTCAAGTTCCAAACCACAGAAAAAGTGTGAACACTAGCAGATTTTAAGGCATCAGAATATGAAAGGCCTCATGTTCTTGAGAGCAGGAAGAGAGGGACAGCTATGATTTTTTAAAACAGCAAGCACTAGCAACACTGGATAAAGCTCAAACCCAAATCCTCCGCCGTGGCAGCTTGTGTCCATGCATATCAACCAATGGCAGATTTTATTCTAAATATCAATCAGTGGTGAAATACACTCAAACACATCATTATTGGAATAACAGAAAAATACTGAGACCTTAGTATCAATTAAAACATCACTGAAAGAACAGAACAGACTTACATAATGGTTTCTTCAGAGTTCTGGCATTCTGCAGAGTGCCTGCTGTTCTCCTGTAAGTCAGTCGCCTGAATAGGAAATAACTGTATTTTAGATATGTAAACTCAAAATTATGGAGAATTTATAGCATGTTATACACATAGAATAGAAAATAAAGAATGAAATCGTACTTTTTCTTAAAATATTTGAAATGTCTGATTCAACTATTTAAAAGTATGACTTAGATTGTTACTGGTAAGGGAATGAAGATTCTAAAACATTTTATGCTTTCATATACCAGAGCACAGAAATCAATAGGTTATCAATCCATTTTTTTTTTCTATTTCCCTTTTGCCCACATGATCTTTCTTTGCAACATTAAGAAAACCAGTTAACCTTTGTCCAAAGCAGTCACTGCAGCTATGCACACATAGAAATCACCCACCTTCTTCCAGATCAGTTTGAAGTTTTCTGTTATTTACTAGTAAACAAACCAAGCCACCCAGCTTGTGTGGTAATGTAAGAACAGAGTATCATGTGAAATTTTCTTAAGTGTTAAAATCACAAACCAGATCACAATTCCTATTTGCTCAACACCTCCCACCAAAAACCCAACACCAAAACCACCCCAACAATCCAGCACAAAAATCAAACACTCAAGAAACTCCTTGCTGTTGGCAATTGAAGCCACAATTTCTTTCCAAGTGGTTTTTTTTTACAATATTTATAACAGACATAAGATGCTGCTCAGGCATTTACACAGTCACTCAGGGGAAAGACACTGAAACAATTTCTATATTCCTACTTTTCACATGTTTACATGTACATCTTTTTACATGTTTACAACGTCTCAAAAATGGAAAAGACTGCAGTGCAGCACTGCAGCAGCATTTTTTGACATATATGCATGACCAGGAAGAAGGAAACAGCTGTTGAGGCAGAATTTGCCTAATGTTTCAAAGGAGCTTTCATGCAGTGGAGCCAAGACCTCAATTAGAAACCTTATGGAAATCATGCATGCCAGCAACAGCATCAGCCCTGTTCAACTGTTAGGTACCCCCTCTGTAACACCTACAATCCAAAGAAGACATTTATAGTGATTTGCAGTAAGAATCACAAAGTGAGACCAGTAGCTTAAAACAGGTTCCTTCTCAAATATAGGACTTCTGTACTATAAAGACAATAACTGAGGGATATTTTGCTTTAGAAGCTACACATATCTTGCTGTGAAAACACAGAATCTTCAAGCTCTAGAAGGTATCTCAGTCCGAGGTAAATACTCTCTTAGGAGCCAAAAGAAAGATCAGGTATTATGTGCATAAATTCAAAATAATTACAGTAAATCTGTGGAAGTACAAGGCTGTGAAACACACTGTCTCCACAAGCCAAGATGGTTAAGAGACTGATATTCTGCATTTCATTTCATACGTGTTTGTTTAGCAAGTGTGTCTGTCCTTGTGTTACAAAGCTTTAAGACAATGACAAAATACCCAAATCAAGCTAAAAAGTTTATTATATCATTGGAGAAGGTGAAGCTTTTTAGCACTTTCCCCTGAGCAGCTGTATTTACCCTGGCATGACCATGCCCTTTATTTTCTGTGGAAAAACCCCAGCACAAAATCAATATATCAATATAGTGACACTACATACATGTGGAAGACAAACAATATCTGTAATCTTTGCTGACAAACCTTTCTTGAAACTGTTTTGAGGGGATCAAGCCTGCTCTGAGGTTGGTATCCCCAACACGCTTGGCTTGCCACCACGTGGGATCATCTTGACTTACAACTTCCAGCACGTGTCGTCTTTTGAACGGCAGCCCAGCCTCCTGGCAAGGAATGGCTCTGTCTTCTTTGGGGTTATAGCAGAAAAGTGCCCTCATAAACACCTTTAAAAGAAAGTTAACATGTCATTTCTTCTTGTCCTATCTGGAATTTCAAATATCTGCCCTTGAAAGGCTTCCCCCAGTGCTAACACTGCTAACTATACATACACTTTATCCCTCCTTCAAGCACTTTCAAAATACAGACATCTAGCAGCTTATGCAGAAAACTAAATTAACTTCCCAGCACATACCCAGTAATTATATATCATCATTGTGGAACATGAGACTCAAAAGACCAAAGTTCCAAGAAACACAGATCACAATCTACATTAAGTACAAAATACAACACAGAAATGGTTGAAAAAAAAATTAGGGGAGCAAGAGAACAATAAAAATGGATTTATGGCAAAGTTGCCTAGTTGTAAAGACTGTCCTTAAAATGTTCCTTGAATGCATCAAGATCTACTATTCAACTTTGGATTTGTATATTAACACTATTTAACACATAACAGCAGAACCACTTCAGAAAGTGATTTGTGAGCTTCAAGGAAAAGTTCAGCAAGCAAAAGCAGGGAAGCAGAGACTGCCAGAGGAATCCTATGAGGGACCAGTCGAGCATTAAGTTACTGCTGATCAGGTAGAGCAGATGAAGTGGGCTGATGCATCACATGGTGAATGCAGCTCTGTTTGTAGAGAGGTCCATTTTCACTCAAGTGAGTGGCAAAATGCCCAGAGATAATGGACAGATTGCAGCTGCCATGGTGAGAGGAGACAGCAGAACACTAAATTTAATTACACAAATGAAAAAAGAAGAGGCAGGATTTCAGAAATGTTATAAAAGAACATGTGCCAAGATGCAGAGCAGAAGAGTCATGCAAGTAATTCTGCTGAAGAGAAGGGTACTGCACAAGAAAGCACTCTCCTCTTTGTAGCTCAATTATGTGTCTGGCACTTCCACTGGAGCAGCAGGAATGCTGCATTTACAGGGATGTAAAGATGTGCCTCTGTTTCAGCTGCATACCTTGCTGTCTTTCAGACGATCTTCTTCTTTGATGGCTGGAATTATCTTTAATGTTATTGACCCTCGAGACTGAGCCTGAGAAAAACAAAAATGTTTTTTTACTTTGAAAGCAGGACAAGGATACAATGCAGACTATTCAAGTTAAGGAGCTAGTAGCTGTCTCCTTCTCAGAACTCTAATAGGCCAAGCTAATCCACTATTTAACTGCATTACAGAGAATATCAGGATGTTCCATGACTCTACAACAGTGTTTTGCCCATGGAGACATCCACAGCAGCTACTTGGCTAAAACATATTAAGACCTGCATTAAAATTCCTATGTTTGCTTTTAGCAATTGCATTAATTCCTATGCTACAGTTCACAGGACATTGAATACTTCTGTGGCTTTAGTACAACACTGACTTAAATTTTTGCAGACCAATGATTTTAAAGTGCTGCACTGAAAAATGATTACTCCATAGAGTGGCTAACTTGTTAGTGAAATGTAAGCATCTACAAAATAAACACCTACTTTCACTCTAGAAATCTTTGCTAGAAAATTACAATTATTAGTTACAGTAAACTAAAAAGCACTTCTAGGTCCTTCAGAAATCTAGAATGGGTTTATCATATGTTTTAGATGCCTTATTTTGCATGAGATGAACTGTGTTGTAGAGAAGCCTGCAATTCTGCACAGATGAAAAAGCAAACACAGACAAACATTTGTAGCTTTTCTTCAAGAAATAAACCACAAAAAGGAAAGTGTTACACTTCAAGCATTAGCTCACATGGGACATATGTAATTAGAAATTACACAGGACAGATAAATAGCATCTCAATATCCCCACAGATAAAATTTACACTTTACTATTTCAAACTGGTTTTGATGCCCTTGGCCCCCCCAAGTTAAAAGCAGTCATTGGCATTACTTGGGATTATTTGATCTAAACTGAAATTAGGTGATGGAATTGATGGCAGTCTCCTTCCTGTGTCCCTAACTCCACACCAAGACAAGGGGGAACCATGCCACAAGAGGGAAGTCAGAGATAAAGAAGCTTAAAAGCCACAACACTTTCTACCAAGATTTGTGGATATTCATGTTAGAGAAGCTTGAAGCAAGGAGTTGCTCATGTCACCAGGAAGCTGCTGGTAAAGAACAGACTGACAGCTCTACTGAACACATGGACAAGACTCTCTTCAGCTTCCTAACATACCACATTATGAATCATCTTCTAGGAATGTATTTATAATTTGCAGTTTGCTTGTCATAAACAAAGCATTAAAGGGAAGTTCTTGACAGAGCAACATGTTAACTTTGTATTTGTATCTTACTTGGTACCAATCCAGTTCGCAGAAGTTTCTGAAGTCAAAAGGAGAAGACTAATCCACTGGGAGAAGAAAAACTCTTAATGCAAAGACAAGCAGGGATTGCATCTATATTTTAAACTCATGGTTAAATTTCATCATCTACTGTAATTACTAGATCACCAAACAGAAAAGATCTTGAAATGAAAATCAGTGCAGACCAAAATCTGACTTATTTCTTCTGGTCGTTTGTGAAGCACAGTAATACCATTGACTTCTCTTAGTTCATCTCCAACATGGACAAGACCTGGAAAGATGGTAAGTAAATTAAAATAGGTCTAGAGACTGGAAAGCACTTCTCCACTGATGTCCAGCCTAAGTCATTAGCAGGTACTTCCTCTCCTCCCTCATCCAGACTGATGGATTTAGTACCAAAGCCAAGTGCCTTTGTTGGAAATGTGCCTCACAGCCTCCTGCCTTTATTCCTTATGGCACTTTTTTCCCATGCAGTGCAGTCTCAAAGGAGAGCAGCATGCAGACTGGCAACTTGTGGCAAGGTACTCTGGAAAATCACTATTTGGATCAGTATTAAGTATGCAAAACTAGAATAGTTTCATGAGTATGACCAAATCTTATGAAGTCAGGAGACATGCTGCTGACTGTAAGGGCAGGAATGACATGTCTGTCAACTGACAGATCAATACTTCACACTCACAGAAAGAATGCTAGACTAATTTTTTTTTTTTTTAACAAGCCATGAAGAAGTTCTACAAGATTTATGCTTATTTATTCAGTTCAATAAGAAATGCTGTACTTGTCATATATATAGCTACTGTTAACTGACATTAAATAATTTCTCATTAAACCAAACAGAAAACAACACATGATACACTGAATAAACCAAGCTATTAGATTAAAGGTAAAAAACATTCTTTGCTTTCCTCCAAAGCTCAAACATACTTCTTCCATCTCTGATTTCATTTTTTCCTAATGGTCATTTTAATAAAAAACATATGTAACTAGATTAACAGATCACTGATGAAATACAGAAATGCTAAGAGCATGCTTAGGAAACTTCAGAGGTTTACAAATGCAACTTCAGAAATGTACTACTGCAATCATACCACTGCGATCAGCTGCACCACCTCTCATGATCCTTGCTACAATCACAGCTCCTGTATGTTCATCTCTTCTGATGGTAGCTCCCTGAAATAAAACATACCCCCCACCCCAAAAAAATGTAAGAAATTTGCCCTGAATTCAGCAACCAGTGAAATAATGTTTATGCTATTATGTCTTTTAAACTGGAATTAATTTGTTCTACGGATTTCCTCTTTTTCCTTTATGATTTCCACCATTAATGAAGTTTTGCCCATGCCAAGTGATTATGGGAAGGTGCACCCACCTTCCTTGCTGCTGACTTTTCTAAGTGCTTACACTTCCTGCATTATTGTGGTCATCAAAGTCACTCAAGCGTGCAAAAGAGCTTATTGTAACAAATTCTTTCTCCTTCTCTTCTGAATCTTTATACAAAACAGTCAGCATTTTTATATGTAAAAACAACAAAAGCCAAGTAATTAGATTTTTTTTCCTCTTCCTACCTCTGCTGGCAATACACAGCTTTAATCAGGAATTCAGTCACTGCTCCCTTCTACTACAGTGATACACAAAAAGCAGATTTCTTTCCCAATACAACTGTTTTTCCTTAGGAAATCTGTTCTTCCATTTCCATTTGTATAAAATTAGGACCTTGACAATATAATGCTTACATACAGGTATCAGACATATTCTTACCATACATCACTGACTTCATGCAAGTGAATACATTAAGTCATTGAATGTATGAAAAGAATTAATACATATAATCAGTACAACTGCTTCAACATACAGTTTCTTCAGTTTTCCTGTGCTAACTGGGATTGTAAACCATGCCCATAAAGCACCTAAATGCAAAATTGTGAAGGTGCATTTATCAATTACCAAATTATTTTTTATGTTACTTTACAAGCTTCAGAACACTCCAAGTTTCTGAAGCCTACTTGATGATATCTTCAAGTATTTCCTCCATACTCACAATAACACTCTTGCACTATAAAGTTTTATGAGTATAGATGGGTGATCTAATATGTACCAGGGGTTCTTTATTTTTCACTAGCCGAACAATTTTCACTGATTCCTCATCAAAATCATCATCATCAAAATTATCAGGTAGAGGTGGAAGAGCTGGGTCAAAGTTCTTCTGTGCTACAGTGTCATGTACTACAAGCATTGCCTGCATAAAGGAAATAAAAGACAGTAATGTAATGGAGTAGTACTACAATTCCCATTCTCATGATTCCAGTATTATAGAAAAATGAAACCTCCTCCTTTCTGCCCTCACCACAAATCCTCCAAAAAAGATTTAGCAATCACCTTACCCATCATATAAACTACATACTGGTATATATACATATACATAAAATTCATACTGGTATATGGCAATATTTAAAATAAATACAGGCAAGAACAAAGCTCAGCCAAAAAAAACTTAAGGGGGCTATGAAAAGCAAGTCTCCTTTTCTGGTCCCTCAGAAAACAGTAAGGAAGGGAGGAATGGAAGACAGCATGGTGCACTATGCAGGAAAGCTGTCTCTTTTCAATTTCCTTCACTTCCTAAGGTCTGTGCAGGAAATCCCTTTGGAACTGAAGTTTGCAGGAGGCTTTTCCTTTCTCCTAAGGAGGCTTCTATGTAACTTTTCTGTTACAAAATGTTCTATTACAATTCTGCAAAGGCCTCTCATTAAGGTCCCCAATGTGGTTTTTACCCTGAGATGTGGTGTTGACAGAAGCTGAAGCAGCTCTCTTTCTTCATTATTCACTGGTGCTGTCTGCAACTCTTCTATTACCTTTAAAATAAAAATTTACAACCTCAAAATTAAAGGAGTCCACCAAACAAGATCACGTATTAACATTTCTGTTGAGTGTTTGCTAACATCTATCATCCAAGAAAGTAGTGTACACAAATCAAAACTGATCTCAGTCCATAGAGCATAAAACCTGAAAGAAACCAAAGTTTCTTCAGCTATTTTTATCAGATAGCACAAAAGACAACATTAGGAATCATAGTCCCTAAACATACATTTTAAGAGTTATTCCATCAATATAATTTCAGGAGCAAGTTCTGAAATTTTAAATTCTATACAGAATAGGCAAATGATACCTGAAACAAGACTCTTGTGCTTGTACTGTTTGATAAAAGACTTTAAACCTTTCTGCAATCATCTAGTATTACCTTTGTGGAACGTGCAACATAACTTCCCTTGTTCCCCTGCAAAACCTGGATACCAAAGTATGCCCTGGAGTCTCAGCATTTTAAACAAAAGATTAGAGAAATAATGGAGGCACTTCTGCACTGGGCTGAGTGGGTGGAAGTAGAGAGAAAGCAGGGGAGAGAGAAGGAAGGGAAAATGGGATAAGGCAAAAGAGATTTCCTTACCTGTTAAGAGTTCTAAACAGGCAAGTCATATAGTTCTATAAAAAGCTTCTCTGCTATTCTGAAGATGGAAATTTTATATGACTTGACAGGTAGCAATGCTGAAACTTTTGTGGAGGTGGTACACTGCATGTGGGAACAGGGAGAGGGGATGTGCTGCACGTTAAGGTGAGACACTGGGGTCTCCTGACTTGGAAAAGGGAGATATTCCAGCTCCCAAACCTTCCTCTGCCCCTTCCTACACTATGGTAGGTGCATGTAAAGAGCCAGCAAATGCAGAGTAAATTTCACTTCACAGACACATGGCATCGTGTCAGACACAAATCTAAGACACAACTCTGCTCTGTGAACAGACTGGGGCATGAACTGATTGAGAGCAGCTCTCAGGAGAAAGACCTGAGGATCCTGGTAGATGAAACATCAGATACATGATGGCAACGTGTGCTTGCAGTCAAAAGTCAACTGTATCCCAGACCTCATGAAGAGAAGCAGGGCCAGCAGGTCAGGGGAGGTGACCCCATCACCGAGAGCACAGTGGGCAGCTCCAGAGGCCCCAGACCTGTTCTAGTGCATCCACAGGCGGATCATGAAAATGTTCAGAGGACTGAACACCTCTCCTAGGAAAGGATGAAGCAGTTGGGATTGTTCAGCTTGGAGAAGAGAGGGCTTGGGGGAGATTTTACTGCTGTCGTTCAGCACATAAAGGAGGCTTACAAGACAGAGAAAAGCTCTTTAACAAGGCCTGTAGTGACAGGACATGGGCCAGCAGTTTTAAATTGAAAAAAAGCAGATTTAGATAGGATATAAGGAATAATTTTTTTTATGAAGAAGGTGGTGTGATGCTAGAACATCTGCATGATGAAATGCTGGAAACAGCTGCTGGAAACAAAGCTGCCAAGAGAAGTTTGGGATGCCCCACCATTGGGAATGCTCAAAATCAGGATAAAGAGGGCTGTGAGCAATCTGATCTAGGGAAAAGTGAGCCTGCCTCAGATCACTTTTCTAGGTCCCTCTGACCCAAACCACTTTGTGTCAACAGCAATGCTGCCTGGGTTGTAATGCTTTTAAGTCTGAATACAAGACTGAATGCTCAGCTGGGATAGCCTATTGCCAAGACAGGTCTGAATGCTTTTTGCAGCCTCTTCCTTAGGAAGGTCATCAATAATATCCTTTCCTTCTACCTGAATGTGTCCATCTTCACTAGACATTCAATGACTTGGTATTTTTGAGCTCTCATTTCCTTGATTAATCACAGCCAACAGATTACAAAGATAGTTGGGGAAGATAAGAAGTATCTATATGTTCTATATGTTCACATATAGCACAATTGCAAAGCTTTGATTTGTTAGAAAAGCAGGCTTAAATAATAGGAAAATCACAAGACAAGAAATTTTTACTCACATCTTCAACTAATCCTGCTGCACTATGTAAAACAGGAGTTGGACTCTGTCTTTCATAATGACGCAGTTTTTCGTGAATCTGAAAAAAGATAATTCAGGGATATTTCTACAGAGAGACACAAAACTTTCTAAATATACCTACATTGAAATACTTTTCTATTTAAGGCACGTAATTTATCTGAGAAAAATATTCTCTCTTAGGTTATTTTTGTTTTGTTTATGAGTCTTTTAGTTTTCTTTTTGCTCATGGTAGTTTCAGACAGTCAGAAAATCTGTAAAGACTTTAGGAGCATAATGGAAAAAATGAAGGTATTTCATACTACTTTTTAGCTACAAGGCTACTGTATCTTCATTTTAGCAAGAAGAGCAGAAAAAAATATTTCTGAACAAAATATGCTAATTGTCCAAAATTATTGTTTGTTCTTAAACATACATATGCTTTGGTTGGTACAGAATTCTTTAAAAAAGTTTGGCAAAGCAAATGGTTGATAAATCAAGGGAACAGAGAAAAAGTAAATTGTAAGGAGAATGTACATAAATAAATATGAACTTTTACCTTCATGAGGTAGCTGAGACTCCTTTCACTGAAGACGTCCCTAAGGAATCCCATTTCCTCTTTATGATTTGAATCAGGTCTTAGCTGAGATGTCAAAAGGGCCAAAGTTTCATGCAATCCTAAATTTAGATTCAGGACAGAACAAAAATATTGCACACAGCATTTCTCAAAGGACCATCTACTGCAGACTTAACAGCCACTACAGTTACTTGGGCACCACACTGGTGATCACCAAGTTTGCAGAGACTCGTGTTGATCTTGTGTTTATCTTGTGTTTATTTATAAACTTTGCAGCACTCCCTTCATAAGTGGCAAACACAGGAGCATATTAAGGCAAAAGCTAACAAAGCAATATATATTTTTTAAAAAAAAATCTTTCATGTTTCCCACTTCATGTTTATTACACTGTTTCCTTCTTACAAATTGAATTTTTAGTGCCACAGCAAGCTCTCAAAATGACTGAACAATCTTCTTTGTTGCACAGGTAGCAGCTTTACTTCCCCAGTAACTTTGCTTACAAATGTTATCCTGCCCCTTCTGCTTCTGAGGCACCTGTAAGAAGCCAGGTCTGACCAGAGGAAGAAAGGACAGGTGTAGATTTCCATTGTGGTGGAATCAAGGCCTGTGCCTAGTTTTCTAAAAAGTGTTTAAATCACCAATATCCAAATCTTGCAGTACACAGGGCCAGAAAAATACCAGATTTCTCCTAGTGAACAATATCTGGGAAGACCAAAAAAAAAAAAAAAAAAAAAAAAGAAAAAAAAAGGGGGGGGGGGGGAGGGGTTTTTAAATCTATTCCTGTGGCTATTCTCTCCATGAACCTTAGAGTGGATTTTGATCCAGAAGGCTCAAACTCACTCCTACTTTAACCCTAAGTATCATTTAATATCTCTGACTTTCCCCTGGGCAGCATACTGGGGAAGCTGGCAAAGCAGCCTTGAACAAAGTCACTTATTTTAAGTTAAAAGGGAGGGTATTAACAAACCTTACCAACCCCTGTTCAGAAAATATTAAGAAATGACACAGCAAGCAGCAAATCTATATGGGCTGATCTTTAATATTGAGAGGTCCAACTTTGCCTACAGGAGCCTATCAGAATAGATTCAGGTCTATCAAAATAGATTCAGGTGCTCTAGGGTTCTTAGGAAACTTTCCTCACAAACTTTATTAATGTTCACCTTTTACACTCCACCTTCCTTCTTGTAGGTAATTGCTAAAAAACTCCAGTTGAGTGATCTTAATTCTATTACATTTTACTCCAATTTGAATTAATTTTATGTGTGAAACACCTATGATAAGATTTCAGTCACTGCTCTGTTGAAAGCATGTATTTGAGTTACCTGAGTCCTCCGAAAGCACTGGCATGGCTTTGTTCTTAGAGACAAAAGTTCAACTAAAACCAACTGAATTGTTTCTTCTTTCTGGACTGTGATTCAGAGGTAGTCCTGAAATAAACAAACATAATACCTAAGCTCAAGCATGCAAGAAAAATGTCAGGCATGTAAAAATAGCAATTTTTCAAGTTTTCAGCTTAACCTGAATCAAGCAGAATTCTGCAGTTATTCTGCTATGCGAGTAACAAAATGAAAAATATTAGGTTATGTAATAACCATATTGTATCTTGGATAAAGCTGAGGCTAAAGAGAATATCTGTCAAGAGAGGTAGTTTTAACAGGTCTGGATAACTGTCTGAAAAAACAGAAGAGAAGGGATGTTTAAAAGCACTGGAAAACTTCATATGCAGAAAGAGAGCATGAAGGAAGATGAAACATCACAAGATGTGCTGGGGCTTCCTAAAAGCACATCTCAAAGAAATGTCCAGGTCCCTGGGGTTCTGATGAAGACCATGCCACAGTTACATGCAGCTCCTTAAAGCTGGCAGGACTGTCACTCTACCAACCTTGGTCACAGGTACTAAGCATGTTATAAAAAATAAAGCTACTCCCACTGCTCAGAAATTGCTTTAGATATTTCTCTTACAGATTTCTCTCATCACTGAGAGCAAATTACTCCAGAGTAATTTTTTTTTTTTAATTTAAAAAAAAGCAAAACTGAATCTATGTGTATAATTGTCAGTCCAAGATGAAACATTGTGCTTCAGGGCACTTACAATCTTGTTCATGCTTATAAAATTCATTAGACTAATACCTGCATAAAAATAAACTTCCTTAACAGCACACATACTCCAACTCTTTGTTGAACACAAAAAAAGATGCTCTTTGTGTTTCTATTTGTAGATAAGTCTCTGATATTTTGACTGAAACACGTTTGATAGTCTTCCAAATCAAATTTTCTTGAGATTAGATGCCTGAAAATACCATAGTATTGCATGGCAAACTAGCATTTACTTACTGAGAATTTTCTAGATTCCTGAGTTTCTCTACAACATAGTGAAATATTAAGCTCAACAGTCACCTGTGTTTTACACCCTGTATTTTCTACCACTACAATTAATTAAATATTTAATTAATCCATCTGGGCATCAAAACATAACTGGAGTTCTCTAAGTAAATAAACTGGGTGTTGAAATGTCACTCTAATCCATGGATTGTACACCAGTGCATTATATATACCATACCTTCATTTAGACACTCCTATTACCTTTTGCTTAGAAGAAATAAACATTTCACTCACAAACACACACTTCATGCCAAAAGAAATTTATGGGCCATTCATTCAACTGCTTTGGTTCCTTGACTAAGGCATTTCATTTGACACATATTTGTATCTTCTCAAATTATTAAGAAATAGAACTTTAATTGCATGCTTCATCTTTGCATCAATGTGTGTTTCCTACAGTCAAACCTATTTAGCACCAAACCCCACGAAAAGCCAAGTTGTTTTCCAGATTCTTAGTGAAAAAAACAGCCCACACAGGACTCTTGAAAACACACATTTCAGCATCTTAAAAACCTGACAGCCAACTCAGGAGCAGCAGAATTAGTCGAGTTAGGCACAGCAATCAAAATGGAGGTTTCCCCTAGAGGCATCTTCCATGCTCTGTAAAAATCCTGTTACACAGAACTGCCTGGAATGAACACTCCAAAGAATGAAAAGCATTCCATACCTAGGGCTGGCTCTCAGAGGTATTAAAATCAACCCCAGCATGTGATATTCTGTAAGATGGGTCTCAAAACCATGAATCTGTTCTCTCATCATTATAGTACCAATAGGCTCAAATACACTTTTCCTCTTTAAAAATATCTATCTAAACCTTAATTCATTTTTCAAACATATCCTTGCCCAGCTGCTCCCCAGATTGAATGCCTGAAGCACCTTTCTTACCTAGAAAAAAGTCTGTTAATACTCGGAAAGGGCTAAACAAACTGAACTTATGCTCGCCATGGGGTCAAAGCAGGAGATGAAACAGAAGCGTAATATGACACATCCCCATTAATTTGCAGAACAAACCTATCGTGATTCACATGTTTACAACATAAAGCTTCTGTAATGCAGATTGTTTCATTCAAAGCTGTAGCTGCTTTCAGAAAGCAGCTGCTGTTTACCATTTCACATCGCCCTAGCAATTAGGTCAGAAGACACTTCAGGATGCTAATGGGGCCATAGGTGATTGCTGATGGCCACACAGCCTTTCTCCTCCTATCTAAACCGGAGTGAAGCTCTTTCGCAGGGTAGCGTACCTAGCACGGAAAAAGCCACGACTCTGCTGGCTGACCGAAGCATGGATAAAACCACACATCGTTCCCTGCTGGGCACCGCGGGGCCGGGCTCTTGCTCCGAGCGCCCAGGTCAGGGGGCAGCTCCCGGCCCAGCGCTCGGGGGCTCGGCGGGCACCCCCCGGGCCATGCAGGGACCCTCCTGACACCCCGCGGCCAGAGCAAACCCCGCCAAGGGCTGTCCCGCTCCGAGAGAGCTTTATGCGAGCTCCACCGAGCCCGGCTCCCGCCGAGTCTGCCGGAGGCGATACCTGCGGGCCCACACCTCCTCACGGCTCCACCGCCTATGGAGCGAGGCATCTCCGGCCCCGAGCTCCCGCACGCCAGCAGCGAGACAGCCCTGCCCGACCTGCTTCCCGAGCAGCCTCCGGGCCCAAAACCCCCAGGGACGGCCTCGGGCGCTAACCCCGGACCGAGCCCCAGGCACGCCCAGCAGACCCGCGGCCTCCCTCACGCCTCCAAGGCGGCACCGGAGCCCGGCCCGATGCGCCGCAAAATGGCGCCGCCCGCCCGCCCGGCTGTGCAGCCCCGCGCCGCGCCCCGGGCCCGGCTCTGCCCCCGCCGCCGTTACCTGCGGGAGCGGCCCGGGCTGGGCTCCTGCGGCGCTGGACGCTGCCCCGGCCGGGCGCGGAGCTGCCCGCAGCCTGCTGCGCACCTCGCTCATGCGCCCTCAGAGCCGCTCCACGCACGCCTCCCTCGCTGCCTCCCTCCTCCGAGCTGCCGTGGCCTGCGGGGCGGCTGGATCGTCCCGGGGCGGCGGTTCGCAGCGATCGGGGTGTCAGCGCCCCGTCACGGTCAGCGCCTGCCAGCTCCGCTCCGGGGATTCGCCCCAGAGCTGGCGGCTCCGGCCGCGGCTTTCCCGGGGGAGCTCCGGGTGGACCTGGGCGCTGCCTCGGCCCGGCCTCCAGAGACCCCTTGTTGGAGTCACCCTCGGGGACTGGCTGGAAAATCCAAAATGCCAAAGGTTTAGGTCCAAAAAAGGAGACAGAGGAGTCCTTCAGCTTCATTCGAATAACGGGAGAGAGTCGACCGAGGCACATACCCGCGGGTTTTTCTCTCTCGGGCTCTCAGAGGGTCCCTTTTATCCCAGCCTCTGTTTAATCCCAAACCCCCGGGCGCACGTTGCCCCTTCCTTTCCCCATTGCTGAGGTACCAGGAAAGTGCAGCCTTCCCAAACCGCCTATCCCATTATCCCCCCTTGAACCTGGCATTTCACCCCAGAGTTCAGAAGATGAGCCTTGTGCAGAGCTGTCTATCTCAGGAGCCAAGCTGTGTGTGCTCTGTAACAAACCTGCTGCCCAAAGTTCGCAGAGACCTTAACACCCAAACCTTCCCCCATCAAATTGGTTGTGAAGACATTAGGACACATCTTTCTCCTCAGCACCCAGTGTGTTCACAGCTGGCTTTTGCCAGGTGTGCTGTGCATGGCAAGACTCAGAGGATGCTGCAGAGAGTTTCTGATTTTTTTTTTTTTAGGGGGATTCGAAGTGTGCACAAAAACAACCTGTGGCAAATTGCGCTGGTGGGTGTTTGGTGCCCGGGAATCAAGGGAGCAGAAGCTACAGCACAGGACAGATGGCAGGACATGCTCTAGAAGGCATCCAGGCCTTAAAGGTGGAGACAAAAATCAGCACTCAGTGAAGGGGGTAGCCAATGGACAGACAGACAGAAAAGGAGGGTTACTAAAAATCACAGTAAGAGGAATGACAGATTTGTCTTTACAAACAAGCTGTGGGTCTGCTGGTAAATAAAACTAGCACTGGGAGATGAAAGAAACAATGGAAAGGATTCCACTGATTGATGAATGGAAAAAAGATATTTGCCTTTACAAACAAACTGTAGGTTTGCTGATAAATTAAATTGTATATTGAAAGATGAAAGAAACAATGGGGAAAAACAATAAATTGCGTAAGAACTAAAAATGAAGAAGGAGAGTTATACATTAGAGGGGAATATTAGGTATCAGACATTTCAGGAAGTCTGTACCTCTCAAATACCTCAGCTAATGGGGAAAGAGAGAGGGACAAGCGGCCGGGAAATTGGGATAAGAAGGAGGCTGCGTCCTCCAAAAATTTGAGAGACCCCAGGGGAATGCCCCATGGCCTCTCCCTTTATTTGAATAAAGGAAAAGTACTTCTCTGTCTCCTTTTTTTGGACATAAACCTCTGGTGTCTGTGGATTAATTTTCCTGACAACAGCAGAAGATCTGCTAGACTCTGCAGAGGTAGGTTGGGATTTTTTTCCAAGAAAAGAAATGGTATGATTTAGGAAACAGGCTAGGAACAGATGAGTTTTAGCTTGCAGAATACTCTATCTATTCAAACCTCAGAAGTCCACAGCAGTAAGGATAAGACAATCTATTATTCACTTATCAGATGCAATACTAAGCAATAATTTAAAAGTATAGCTACATTGGACAGCAAAGCTCATAGGAATAAGACATCCTTTAAAAATATGTATGTACATGAAGAGTAGTCTGCAGCACAGAATGTTACTCTGAAAAGAATAACCAAGCTATTTATCAAAGCATTCACTGAACATGATTTTGTGCTCTACAGAATTTAATGTATAAGTAAATATTATTTTCTGCAAAGTTATTCATAAGTGATGCGTCACTATGTGATAAATTCCATTAATACAGACAAAGTAGAAATGATTCCCAGTATTCTAAGGTTCACCCAAACAAAGAATAATGTGAAAGAAAATAATGCTTTCCATCTCCCAAGCTACAGAGGTGCTTTCATCTGCATCAATCACTGCTGTGACTGTAAAAGTATGGGAAACCTGCTAAATTTATCAAAACAGAGTGACAAAGACATATAGAAACTTGTCACCAGGCAGCTTTGATCATTGTTAAATAACTTTTCATTTAATCTGTAAAAATTCATGTATGAATAAAATTTCTTAAGTCACAGTTACACAAGTAATTGCTATTTCTTCTTGAAGTTGCCAGTTCTGTTTCTTGACACTTAAGTTCTCCACTGCAGATGGTTTAAGGTTTTACCATGGGTGGTTTTGCAATATTACTAAATGCATACAGGATCAGCTGGTTTCTTCAGATAAAAGTTTATCATTACAAAAGAAAGTCTGCCTAAAATCTAGAAGATAAAAACATTGGAACCTATGATTATGTTTTCCAACTCTAGCATCAGGCTGAAAAGGGGAGGGGAGGGGATGGGAGGGGAGGGGATGAGATGATGCCATCAGGTTTGAGTGACTGTACGAAGTACAAACTGCAGTGAGAGCAAGGCAAAATGCAGAAGCATTCCTCAAAAACATGAGAATCTCCACTGCAGGCAGGGAGATTTGCAGTAGCTTAAAGATTCAAGTTTAACTGTGGTACCCATGGCCTTTAATGAATATAACCCTTAATCTCTTGGTAAACTGCATCAACTTTGTTCAGCTTGTCTGAAAGGAGCCTAGTTAAACTGGGATTTATGCCACTGACAGCAAATAAACCCCAAAATATTACCCTCTCCATATGTATTTAAAAATGCTTGTTTATGCTTTAGCATTTGGTGAAAATACTGAGATTAAACTTCAGGCAGATGAATACTTTGTTCAGTTCCCAGTCTAGGACTGAAGCAAAACACAGTTGCCATCTATTGCAGACTCATCTAAAATCTCAGTAACTGGAGGCTATGGTTTTGTAATGACAATGCTCTGTTGAAAATCAGGAGTTGAAATGACTGACCTGAATGATAATACTGTTCATCTACAGCTGAGAATTAAAATACAAATTATTTTTGAGAGACGTTAAAAATAATAAATGTGGTGGAGGAGAAAATCGGCAGCATAGCCCCATTTTGAGCTTGTAATACCTTTAAAATTTAACACTGCTGGTTTAATATGTCCACCAAAAACAGGAGAGCTGTATTGTAGTCGCTTAAGCTTCTAGGAAAGGGTCTTTGGAACAGTTTCTCTGTGTTAAGCAGGAATGCCTAGACACAATTACAGTCTAATCCGATGGACCAGGCTTCACTATGGTAAAGGCTATGGTTTACTTGGAACACTTGTTTTACGTGAAATGCGGACTGAAGAGTAGCACGTTTGCATTTCTTCGTGTAAGAGACGACCTACCTCACGATTTTCCTTTCAAATTCCTCCTCTCAGCGGAGGGCTCGGTGTGACATTGTCACTGTCGCCCAGGGCAGCCGAACTGCGCTGCCGGGCGCTGGGGTGACCCGACCTGTGCGCGGCGACCCCTCGGTCTCTCCCCGAGGGTCCCTGAGGCGGAACGAGGCGTCGATGGCACACGGCTGGCAGCAAAAAGCCGAAAAACCCGCCGGCGATCCATGCCCGGACCCACCGCTGTGTCCCCTCCGGGCCCCGCCGCCCTGACCGCCGGAACCCGCGGG